ATACGGCCATAGAGGAGGCTATACCCTGATCAGAGAAGACAAAATATTAGAAACACCTCTCAGTATAACATAATACAATTCAACAGCGTCCAAAATGGCCATAAACTGAAATTTACACCTCCGCAAAACATTATAATCGATTAATTAATGAAGGTAGTATTTATTGCAGGGCTCTTGCATCAGACTGCATTAGGTTTGGCTAGGTGATCCTAATAAACTGGTAATGGTGTGCATTAACACCTGTAAAGTTGTTGTGGCTAACGGGCTAGCAAAATCCTTCATTTGGACTTTGACATGGTGAATTTGAGTGAGTACAACACTGATTCTCCATTTAGCTCTGTTTTGGTTTCCACTAACTTCTGAGGGAAATATCTGGCTCTTGGGCTGCTAACTTTCTGCTGTTTGCTAGCAGGTAGTAGCCTTTAAAGGATTCATCAGAGCGCTTTTAGCTGAAAACAGCGCTCATGAGAGCAATTAAAGTGAATCAAAACCATAAGAGCTGTAAATCCAAAAGACAATGCTGAAAGATGCTAAAATGCTCCGTAGAGCTGTAAGGACCTGCAGACTGCTGATTTGTCACTACGGAGCACTCTTTTAACATTGCATGAAGTTATTTCACCAATTTCTAATACATAATACAATACAGAATAATACAAAACCATTAATTGATGAGTTTAGCAGCTTTAACATATAGTTCCCTTTAAAAAAGAAACAGCTAGGGCCTCATTTATAAAACAGTCTTATTATCAACCATTACTTCCATTAGAGTACAATTAGATGATAATTAGCCTGATCAGCCACCGTCAGTAATCAATACACATTATTAATCCATTAATCAAACCAATAACCAACAGCAGTCAACATCAGACAACCTCAAGTGCTGCGGTAGTGGTGACAGAACTTCCAAATATGCATAGTTTGAAAATGTCAATGCAACCTTTGGGGACAATATTACGACAAGCTTCCTTTAAGACATAAGATATATTAACAATTCCAGTATGTGTCCGCAAAAACACATAACTCTAGAAACACAAGCTAAAGTGTGTCATATATCAACAGTCTTCTTGTCAATCCTGCATCACTAAAATAACTGCTGGTCGGAGGATCAGATACACGCCAAATTAAACACAGACTCATAACACTGTTAATTCACTGTCTATCACGTGTGTATTTTGGTCTGTTGTTACTCCTACTCAACCCTAATTTGTGCAAGCTTTATAAATATAAAAAAGGCGTTTAGGCTAATAACTTCTGCATAGTTTGTCGCACATTCAAAAACCTTATATCCACACGTTCGGTGAATGGAGCTGAATCTCCCCATATAGGCCACGCCCACTTCCGCCTATATTTTTTTTTTTTGCTAGAGCGCAAAATGTTCGTATACTACTTTTTCGTGTTCCTCCTACACCCTTTGTCCGATTTGCACGAAATTTTTTATGTAGCATCTGGGGAAC